GCCCGGCCCCGACGGCGCCGCCCAGGAACGCAGCCTGCTGGTGGCGGCCGAGAAGGACGGGGCGCCCTACCGGATGGAGCACTTCCGCTGGGGCAGCCCGCCCAAGGACAAGCGCTACGGCGGCTTCATGACCTCCGAGAAGAGCCACACGCCGCTGGTGACGCTGTTCAAGAACGCCATCATCAAGAACGCGCACAAGAAGGGCCAGTGAGGGCGGCGCGGGCTTCTCCCTCGGGGGCGCCCCTCCCTCCTGCGGCCCCCCCTGCCTGGGCGGCCGTGGCGGCGGAGGGCAGCCTCCGAAAGCCGACCGCAGCCAGGAAATAAAACCTTTCACGTTTCACATCCGACTCGGACTCTGAGTGTGGGCCGGGTGAATAAAGTAGAAACGTTCCCCATCACATAAGAGCAGCGTATATGGGAGGAGGAGCGCAGTGGTCAAGTGTGGGGTATTCCACAGGAGGCAGGATGGAAAAAAATGTACGACCCCCCCTTGGGTCCCCAGGGCGCCGGCTAGCCTGGGTGATGGCTCAGGGTGGCGCCAGCACCCCTGGGGTGGCGGTGTTTTCCACACTCTTCCACTCCGTGGGAAAGACTGCTCTGTCAGCAGACGTCCCAAAAGGCGGGATTCCTGCAAGAGGGAGTCTGGGGACTCCCCTGGCTCCTGTCTCCCCACAAAAGCCAGTTGGACGTGTTGGGGCCCAGCCACGCCGGGAAGGCTCTGGGCTGCAGGTGGGAAGCTGTGGTAAGGCCTCCTTATCTGTGCTCCCAGCAATCCGTATGACCTTAGCCAAGTCCCTGAACTTCTCCAAGGCTTAGTTCTCACCCACGCCACCCCCCGCCCCCAGCATGAGGGCCGCTGGGAAGGTGAGGGGAGAAAATGGATGCGATCTATTTATCACTGAAAAGCTAAGCGTGCGAGCTGAGAGTCGGGGTCAGTTCCAATCTGACCACTCCCAGGCTACTCACGAACAAACACATGGCCTCCCCCCCCCCCCAGATACACATTTGTCTAAATGCCCCAGAATACACTCAGGTGCTGCTTCGAGCGCCTCAGGCTGAATCCTTGAGTGAGTTTCTGACTCTTCCTGCTGTGCCCAAGCTCCTCCCTCCCCATGTGGCTCAGCCTCTGCCCTTCTCTTCATTCCCAGCACTTCTGGCTCAAGCCTCCATCGTCACAGCTTTCTAACCACTGGGTCTCCTTGTGTCCGGCCACCATCCTCCCCAAGCCAAGCCATCATACACATATTCTTCATATTAATGTCTACAAAATCTTGCTTTCCCCAGGTTCCCTGGCTCAAGATCAAAACAGTGCCTCCACCCCAATTTTCCATCAGTTCCAAACTACTAGGCATGGCACACAGGGCCCTTGCAAACGGGACTCTCGCCTCACTAAGGCCCCTTTCCCTGGGATGGAGGCTCTGCCTCACAGCTACCGGTCTTTTCCCTGTTCTTCTCCCTTCCTCTCGCACCCTCTGCCTGGAATCATCCAACTTCCCCTGCCATTTTAAATGCTACTCCTTTCTTCAACATGAAAGCAGGTTCAGGTTCACCTCCACTGGGCAAGTCGTGAATTCCAGCTGCCCTCCTCATTTTCAGTTTTTCTGCTGTCATCCCTCTCTGCCTTGGGGAGCATGTTGTCCAGCTCCATCAGCAAGCTCCTTGCTGCAGGCATGTCTTGTCCTTTCCTGTGTTAGGTTTCCTTTTTTTTTTGGTAGAGATAGGGTCTTGCTGTGTTGCCCAGGTTGGTTTCAAACACCTGACCTCGTGATCCTCCCTCCTTGACCTCCCCAAAATGCTGGGTTATAGGTGTGAGCCACCAAGCCTGGCTGGGTTTCTTTATTTCCTTGTTGCTTTTATTCTCCTCATGGTGTTACACAATGCTGGGGCCACAGGTTTGCACATTTACACATTTAAAATTCACAAGAGACTCACAGATGGCTACAAAGATGCACACACACCTGTCAACTGCATTAGAATACCAGTGGATGGTGTAGATCAAAGCCAGGAAACCCTTGTGTATGGTACTTACACATATGCCCCACATTATTTTGATGCTCTGAGAGTTCACAGTGAAAGAAAATTGGGCATGCACCCAGAAGTCCTGATATGAAGTGAATCAAGTCAGGTTCATATGACAAGGTCTCCCCCAATGTGGTTTACATGGAATGGAGAATGGCCCAGGTCTTCCTAAACATGCTCCCATGCTGGGTATGCTGGGCCTTGGTCTCCATCTTGGCAGCCTCCTTTCCCTACACCTGCTTCCTCCTGAGGTGGGTAGAGTAATGGTTGATGGGGGTGGCTAAATGTCAGCGGTACACTGTTGGTATTTTCAGATCCTGTTTGCATCTCAAAAAACCATTTACTTTAAAGAAATCAAACAGACAGCCATGTGGTGACAACATTAACATTTATTTGAAAAGGGCATGAAGGCTCATTGGGAAATTGCAACTAATAGCCCTAAAGAATGATTTTGCTAAGAGTCCTCCTTTCTACACTCCCCCCGCTCTCCCCAGGTTCCCCTTCCCTAAAGTAACACTAACCTGATTCAATGAGTTTAAAATACAGAAAACAGTCACGGGCACTAGTTCCACACTCACATATAAATACGTCAGCTATTATATACACATATCGTCTGCTACAAAGTACATGACACACACATGCACGCACACACTCAGCCAGGGCGTGAAGGGCTCAGTGGACACAGATACACGACAGCGCAGGGTTGCAGCACTTGTGGATTTACAGCTCTGCGCTCCAGGATTGACAGTCGAGGAAGAAGAACTCGAAAGGGGAAGGTGAGGCCCCATGGTCCCCAAAAGGAGGGAAGACCTGGTCAGCCAGACTGCTGCTAAAGGAGCAAGACAATTGCCTTCCGGCTCCAGCAGGGCCACAAAGGCCCTCCCACTGTGCCCAGGTCTCTCCTCCACTTCCCTGCTAGCCAGGCTCTTGGACAGGCCCACCATGACCATCCTTTGGCAGGCTTCAGACCTAGGCCAGATTTGGGGTCAAGGGCCACTTTAACCAGAAGACTTCTAGGATTAATGGGACGAAGAGGCAACATGTTGACCTAAACCTACTCCCCGGATGGAAGGAGGATGTCTTGTTTCAGCACAAGTTGCTGCCAGGGTCTGGGGTCACAGGAAGCAGGTGTGGCCTGCCCTGATGAGATGATCTCCCTGTCTACCTTGAAACCGAACATTCAGCCTAATAGCTCAGGCCTAGTTCTTCCCCCGCAGGCTCCTATCCAGCCAGCTGCCATTTTCTGGTCATGAAAAGGGATTGGGAAAAATAGCCTCACTTCTCAGCAGCACTCCCTAGCCAGGGACAATGGAAGGCCTGGGGACAATGGAATGGAAACTGAAAGGCATCATGACCCATGGACCCCAGAGAAGCCCCGAGGTCTGGCCTTTGAGCCTTTCAAAGCTGTCCTCATTCTTAGTCCAGTTGAAATGTACTCTGCGGGATCCAGGAGGTCCAGCGCAAAGGGCAGCACATTCATGACACTTGTGCTTCTTCAAGTACTTTAGAGGGTCCCGGGCCCACCTTGTCCTGCTCATCCCTTTGCGTTTGTGTATGGGCAGGGGGCTGGACAGATGAGAGGATCTGGGAGCTCTTCCAGTTTTCTTCTGACTACTCTGGCTCCTTCTCTGGTAAGGAGGCTGCTTGGTAGTCAAGAAACCACTTATTTCTACTTCTCAAAGAGAGAGGGAAAATGGAGACAGGCACAGGGCACTGAGGACCCCACTGCAAGGAAAACAGACAGCGTCTCCAGGACTGTACCGGGGCTTTCTGCACATCTGCTTTTTACACATTCACATGACCCAGCCAAATTAACGGAACTCCCAGATCTCAAATACATTCCAAGTTCTACCAGCAGATTGCTGACCAACCCCACCCTTTCCCTACAAAGCCACAGTCCTTGGTGGGTTTTGAGAGCAGTGATCTGAATGGGCTTGCCTGCTCCTCTTGTCTCAAAATCACACCCAAGAAGGGTGGCAAACAGGGGTGTGAAACAGCACCTTGGATGCTGGGGGGCTGGAAGGCAGGACGCAGTGATACCAGACCCAGGGCCTGGGCACCTTTCCTCCCCCTAGGTCCCACCAGACTCTGCTTTGCTTTTCTCCCAGAGCCTGTGGTGGGATGAAGGAGATTCCTGATGTAACACTCACCATAAATTTTCTGATTCTGAGGCATATTTGGCCAGAATTCAGGTTCTACACCATGTCAGCAGCAACCTAATAGCCTACTGAGTGTAAGTTTCAATGAAAACTGAGAAGAGGGTGCTTACAAAACAGCGAGTTCTTCTAAAGAAGCATATCTCTGCTAAGCAGCGGTATGTAAGAGAAAAGCTGCCTTGGAGAGGTGGAGAACAAACAGCGGCCAAGTTCGCAAAGAACGGGAGCCTGTGCCTTTTTCTTCTCTTGATTCCCAGAGACACCTGAGGGGACCCGCAGGTCTCTGGTTCTAATGCTGACTTTAGAATGACACTCAGAAAAATGACTGGAGCCAGGGACCCCACAGGCAGTGCTCATAATGAAGATGCTGTGTGGGGGAGGGAGAGCCTAGCGTCAAGTAGGCACAAGAAAGAAACAGAGGGTCTCTCATCAAAGCTGGGTGCGGGATAAAACATGGGATGATCCAGTGAGGACAGACATGCTAGCGGCTCAAGGCTGAGATTTTCTTTAAGTGTCTTCCAAAGGTTATTTGTTGTCATGTTTGTTTAAAGTTATTTTAGACTTGGCTTCTTAATATAGAAATATTATAGAGAAATCTACGTAGATGCTCATAAAGTTGGGTTGAGCATAAATCAAAAGCCATAAAGCATAGCCAAAAAGCCACGGGGGAGGGGCAGGAGTCTCCCCTGCCTGGGCCCTGCCATCACTCAGGCCTTTGGGAAGCCACATGCCCACAGCACAGAGTTGGTGACCAAGGGGAAGCACTCTATTTGAAGTGTGGAAAAGACAGGAACGAAGGTCAGACAGCCGCCCTCCCAAAGAAATTTATTGCACATATGATGGAAAATGCATGTGTTAAGGTTCTTCTTGATTTTGAAAAGTACACCCATCTGTCCTAATGATCAAGCTCTTGCGGTGTGTCCACGCAGTGCCATGTGCACCACGAGCAGGAGTGTGATCTGAGGGTGTCTTGAGAAGCTTGCCCCCCCTCCCCTTAGTGGAAACCATGCTTCTGACCCCATGCCATGCTATCTGAAATTGTACCCTAAAAAGGGATTCTCAGCTACTCTGGAGGCTGAGGCAGGAGGACTTCTTGAGTTCAGGAGTTTGAGGCCAGCCTGGGCAACATAGCAAGACCCTATCTCAAATAATTTTTTAAAAAGGAATGGCTTTTGGTTAAGAAATCTACTTACCCTTGCCCTTTTTTTTGAGTTGGAGTCTCACTCTGTCACCCAGACTGGAGCGCAGTGGCCACTCCTGGCCACCGCAGCCTCGACCTGCTGGGCTCCCGCGATCCTTCTGCCTCAGCCTTCCAAGTAGCTGGAATTACAGGCGTGCGCTACCACGCCCAGCTAATTTTTGATTTATTGTAGAGAGAAGGTCTCACCAAGTTGCCCAGGTGGGTCTCGAACCCGCGGGCTCAGGCAATCCACTCACCTCAGCCTCCCAAAGGCGCGGGATTACAGGCTGAGCCACCGAGCCTGGCACTCTTGCCCTTTTTAAAAAGCAAACTCTCCAGGGAGAATAATTTGACTATTCAAACCTTCCTGTGAGTTGTATTGGCTCAGAAAAGTTATGGGAAGTTTGAATGGAAGAGAAGAAAAGAGCTTGGACCATAGGGTGCTGCCTCAGGAGGAGGCCCAGGTGAGGCTTTGCCAGGGACTCCCAGGAGGCACAAAGTGCCCAGGGAGGGTTAGGAGGGGAATTAGGAGGGAGGGCAGCAAAAGGCTTCCTTTGCAGCTCTATGTCAGCTCCTCCCTGCGTACTCCAGTTGCACAGAGTTGTGCAGACAGCACACAGGGAAAACAGAAACCCAGAACTCAAAGGGGGCTTCACGGTCTCTCCCATGTCACAAACATTGCCAGGTGGCACCCACATCCCAGACTTTGTCCAGAGAGTGAAATCATTCCAATATTAGGTGCTGGATCCTTCTTTCCTCAAATAGAACATCTAGAAGGTTGACTTCTGCCATATCCTTGAGCCCCCAAATGCCACTCATCCCACTCTCCCCTGCCCCCGGACCAGGCTGGGAGCCTCTTCCACAGGAGGTGACGTGGGCAGGCCTGGGGCTCTACAGCTGCTCCCCCTTTCTGAGTCATCTGGAACCAGATTATCTTGTTCTGCCTTCCTCAACCCAGATGTTCTAGGAACACCTTGAGACCCTCAGAAGAAAGTCATTAAAGAGAAAGAACCCAACTCCAAAAAATATCCAGAAGTCAGAACCACAGGAGGCCAACACCAGCTCCCTCTGAACAAAGGAGATGAGAAGATGCTGTCCCCACTGACACCTGCTGCCCAGCCATCTGCCTGCCCTGCATCCCACCCTTTGTGGCCCCCTGTGGTGTCTGCCCCAGCCTCTGTTATAAGGGTCCCATGTTCATCAATAGTAGAAAGAAACAGCTGAGGGGTGGTAAGCAAGGGAGTGGGGGACACAGCAAAGACTTGGGTGGGGAGGAGGGACGGGAGTGCTCCCCAGCGCTCCACCCTCACTCCTCTCCAGGAGAAGCGTCCTTGGTTCCTCCTGAGTGTCTCTATGGCTTCCTTTGACCCACCAAGTCTCCATACAGTTCCCTCCTCTGGGGAGTGGCAGATATGTCCCACAGATGTATCCCCAGTGGGAACCCTTCTCTCAACACCCCAAGCAGGGGCTTCTCCACCCCTCGGCTTCTCTCGGAAGACACCCTCACGATTTTCTGCCCCTGGCTGACATGAAAGAGAAGACAAAGGCCCCAGAGGGGCAGGTGTCTGGATCTCCCTCAGGGAAGACAAGGAGGAGGTAGGAAGGCAAGAAGGACCAGAGAGTTTCCACCTTTGCTTAGCTGGGGAGGTGCTGCCATCCAAGGTGACTTTTTCTCAGGATCCCAGCTAGATTTCCATGTGGTAGGGTGGGTGTGAGGGTGAGCTCTCCCTCAGACCCCATCACCCCGAGGAGCTCTGTCTCTTGGAATTCAGTAGACGCACAGATCGGGAAACTTCATCTCGTAGACGGGGATGGAGTGGTTCTGCGGCTGACCGTAGGCTGCGGTGATGGTTCCGGATGGGCTTGGGGGAGGCCTGGGGCAGGAACATATGGAGGAGAAAGGCATGAAAAGGGAATTCTGAGCCGGGCTCGGTGGCTCAGCCTGTAATCCCGTGCCTTGGGAGGCTGAGGTGAGTGGATTGCCTGAGCCCGTGGGTTCGAGACCCGTCTGGGCAACTTGGTGAGC